CTATTTGGACATTCGGAAGCACCCGAATGTCCGAATTACCCTAAATACGGCCGAATTTTAATATGGACCAAAACGAATTGCACATGTCTATTATTGCTGTGGAGCTCTGTTATACACTCAGACACATTACTGGGAGTATTATTGCTTTGGAGCTCTGTTATACACTCATTTCGGGAGTATTATTGCTGGGGATCTCTGTTATACACTCAGAAACATTACTGGGAGTATTATTGCTGTTGAGCTCTGTTATACACTCAGACACATTACTGGGAGTATTATTGCTGTGGAGCTCCGTTATACACTCAGACACATTACTGGGAGTATTATTGCTGTGGAGCTCTGTTATACACTCAGACACATTACTGGGAGTATTATTGCTGTGGAGCTCTGTTATACACTCAGACACATTACTGGGAGTATTATTGCTGTGGAGCTCTGTTATACACTCAGACACATTACTGGGAGTATTATTGCTGTGGAGCTCTGTTATACACTCAGACACATTACTGGGAGTATTATTGCTGTGGAGCTCTGTTATACACTCAGACACATTACTGGGAGTATTATTGCTGTGGAGCTCTGTTATACACTCAGACACATTACTGGGAGTATTATTGCTGTGGAGCTCTGTTATACACTCAGACACATTACTGGGAGTATTATTGCTGTGGAGCTCTGAGACACATTACTGGGAGTATTATGGACACTCAGACACATTACTGGGAGTACTATTGCTGGGGAGCTCTGTTATACACTCAGACACATTACTGGGAGTATTATTGCGGGGGAGCTCTGTTATACACTCAGGCACATTACTGGGAGTATTATTGCTGTGGAGCTCTGTGATACACTCAGACACACCAACAAAATGGAGCTCCTAGAAAAGAGGGACATTAGGAGAGAAAAGAGGGACAGAGGTATTTGGGCCCAAAATATGGACTGTCCCTCCTATATAGGGATGGAAATATAATGCATGGCACTCTCCCCTATCATACTTGATAAAGGATCAGGATAAACAAAACACAATGTATCTGTATTGATGTCAAATAAAGTTAACAGGCTCACTGTCCTTGTTATTGTCCATTACCTAATGCACTTTTGGGAAGAAGGAAACAGGACTGGTAATGGGCCTTGAGTGGGGCCTTTATTAATGGTAACATGTCATCCCTATCCTTAAATTTATTGGATCTATGGTCTGACAAGCTAATCAGGATGATGATACAGGGTTGTAATGGATAGTGCGAGACTCATAAGACTTTAAAAGCAGTTTAATGGTTCCTCCTTTGCCACACATCAGCAGGCTTCCAAACTGTCCCAATTTTGTCAGGACAGACCTGATTTCAGGGTTCTGTCCCACCATCCCAATTTTGGAATCTCGCTCTTGGAGAAAGCCAAACAGGCTAAAACAGTGCTCGCTGCATGGTCTGTCCTTGAGGGGTATGCATCAGTGCTTCAATAAAAGCCAGTCCACAAATGTATGAAACTGTGTGATAACTCCAGGGCTCAAAGATTTCGACTCTCCAAATAGACATAGGCAGATGGAAGTTCAACCCTGGCGACTATACATTTACTCCTGGTGAGTGTGCCGTGGACTCTCTGGACTTGTGTGAGGAGTATCTTTTAGGTCTTAACATCCTGTCAGAATTAACACCATTTCACCCATCGCCGAGGTCCTGATTGGGCTTAAAAAGTCCCAGGTCTGATTTTGGAACCATCTCATTGTTATATTGAGAGGGAAATTACATTGCCAATTATAGAATTTGTGACAACGCTACTTTAATTCACCATATTTGGAGTTCATTAAACAGCACTGTGTGAGGGTATTGCTGTGGGATCTGGGTTTTAATGCAGAGAGTTCAGGTTTAATGCTGCTGGTGTAGGGCTAACGGTGGGGGAAAGGGGTAATAAAGCATAGTGTTTGATTAATATAACATGGAGTGGGATTAATGCACTATGACAAGGGGTTAATGCTGTGGGTACAGAGTTTACAAAGGACAGTGCGGTGGTTAATACAGGGAGTGAGGTTAAGATAGCAAGTGTGAAGTTTAAGTGAAGGTTTATGAAGAAAAGAATTCAAAGATTGGGTGTTATAATGTGATTTATAGAACATATACGGTTAGGGTTGGACATAGGGCTTAGTTGTAGGGTCGTTTTTTTGGAGTGATTTAACCCCTTAAGGACCAAACTTCTGGAATAAAAGGGAATCCTGACATGTCACGTGTCCTTAAGGGGTTAAAGGAACACTATAATGTCAGTAATACAAACATATATTCCTGACACTATAGTGCCTGTGTGGCTGTTTAGTCCCTGCCCCCTCAGATTTATCAGAAAAGGTGATTTTTTTAACTCACATTTTTTCCCACAGTCTCGCTGTAGTTGGCCTTGTCAGTTTTGATGATCTTAGTCAATCCAATGTTTTCCTATAGGAAAGCATTGGGAGGCTATTGTGCATGTCCCTCTAGTGGCCGTCTGAGTGACTGCCACTAGTGGTGTTACTAGGAAGTAATGTAAATACCAGAGCTGTAGTGATCCTGGTGACTATAGTGTCCCTTCAAGTGTCATTGTAGGTAGCAATTTCTACTTTCTACAACATTTTGAGCCCTTTTTTGAAAGCTGTGCTTAATTTTCCATGCCCTAAATTATGTTTTAAATCTTTTTCAGTGAACATAAACCAAATAATAGTAACATAATTGTATCCTGCTCAGGGCAGGAGTTTTTGTGAGTTACTCACGCTGTACATTTTGTTTTACAAAGTGAATAAATGGTTCTGAACTATGACCCCGTAACTAATTTAATAAAAATACCATATTATATCATGCACATTCCTCAGTTTTCGAATTTCCTGTTGTCATATGATGGTTGCTGCCTTAAACTTGTATTGATCTTTCAATTGCAAATCAATAGCTCAACAAATAAGTAAATTAATAAATAAAGGCTTCTCGCTTCAATAGCATTGAGAAATCCTTACAGGGTTATTCACTAAACAATGAAATTTAGCATTAAATCCGAATAGCAAAACTGAGTGTAACAGGGTTATTCAATAAACAACAGATTTTATACGAATGGACAAAATCCAGTGAAAATGACTGACTTCTGACAGAAATGGCAATTCTCAATTTACTAAAGCCATTAATCACCTTGACGAATTCAGGTCCGGATTAAAATCAGTGCTATTGCATTCGAACCCTATACAAAGTAGCACTATTAATACAATTTTAAACCGAATACACATTGCAAATGTTTACTATGAATTAAAGAAATGTTAGATGATATCTTGTTATATGTCACTTTCTCAAATGTCACCTCACTGTTTAATTAATAAATAGATCTTGCAACTGCTCAGCATACAGTGGTGAGACACAGAACTAAAGTCAGCAGATTAGGAAAGCCTTGGTGCCCAGAAGCTTACAATCTACTTAGGAAATTCCGTCACTCAGGAGTTGGTAGTGGAGGCGGGCAGCAGCATCCAGCGAACACTAGGTAAGAAGTCAAACCGTTTAAAAGCGAGGTGGGAGGCGCCAGGTACCACTGTGAACTGAAGTGGTTATGGTGTTTGGAGTGATCCCTTAATACAAATAATACATAATAAATACTAGCCCATAGGTAGGCAACCTTCGGCACTCCAGATGTTTTGGACTACATCTCCGTAATGCCCTTACAGCCATAATGCTGGCAAAGAATCAAGGGAGTTGTAGTCCGCAACATCTGGGGTGCTGAAGGTTGCCTGTCCCAGTACTAGCCTATTCAGGTCACAGCTGGAATGCAATCCCTTCTACTGATGTCAAAGTTGATGCCTTTTGGGATTTTGTGACGGACAGTTTAGGTGAATCTAAAATCTGACAGTTTTACCTGGCTATTGGATAACTATGACTATGATGCCTCTCCAGTCCCAAGCCTAGCAATACATCATGGGAATTGCAGTGCCAAAACAACTGGGACGCCTCCTTTGGTCTATACCTGCCATAAAGCTACTGACTGCCTTCTATCCTTTGCAGAACAGTAACTGGCATTCCAGCTGCTGTGGATTTTGGCATCCCATTCCCACCAGCCTCAGCCAGCCATAAACTGGAAGCCAATTCCATACAGGTTGGAAAGCAAATTATCCATCATCCTCTGTAGAATGATTACAGTTTCTGTTTCCATAATATATTGATCCCTTTGTGAGTTCCTCCCTCCTGGCTTAGCTGGCTGCTGATTGGTCAGGACACAGAGGTTTGCTGTGCTGGCTGCAGGATCAGTCAGTAGAAAGTATCTGATGGGAAGTATCAGAGGGTGCAGCTCCTCTCTGACAATGGAAACTTTCTGAGTGTTTCCCTCCTGCCAAGCCCCACGAAAAGGAAGCTTGTTTCAGCTGAGTTCAACCCCAGACAGGCTTCACAACTTCCTTCCTGCTGCCTCTGCACACTGCAGCCAGCACTGGTGCTGAGGGAGACTGCCAGGCTGTGTATAGGGGGATCTGGGGAGACAGAGGACCAGGCTGTGTATGGGGGATCTGGGGAGATAGAGGACCAGGCTGTGTATAGGGGATCTGGGGAGATAGAGGACCAGGCTGTGTATAGGGGATATGGGGAGATAGAGGACCAGGCTGTGTATAGGGGATCTGGGGAGATAGAGGACCAGGCTGTGTATAGGGGTTCTGGGGAGATAGAGGACCAGGCTGTGTATGGGGGATCTGGGGAGATAGAGGACCAGGCTGTGTATAGGGGGATCTGGGGAGACAGAGGACCAGGCTGTGGATGAGGGATCTGGGGAGACAGAGGACCAGGCTGTGTATGGGGGATCTGGGGAGATAGAGGACCAGGCTGTGTATAGGGGATATGGGGAGATAGAGGACCAGGCTGTGTATAGGGGATCTGGGGAGATAGAGGACCAGGCTGTGTATGGGGGATCTGGGGAGATAGAGGACCAGGCTGTGTATAGGGGGATCTGGGGAGATAGAGGACCAGACTGTGGATGGGGGTTCTGGGGAGATAGAGGAGGGAGGTAGTCAGGCTGGGGAGATGATAGAGAACAAGGCTGGAGAATTCATATTTATCATCCAAGGGTTCAGCTCCTGGACAACAGGCACTGGTTACTTCTGGGGACTGAGTGAGTGTGCTCAGGTAAGTGCTGCCCTGAGTGAACTCTGAGTACTGATCCAATTTACCTGCTGTCTGTGTAGTTCAGAGTTACCCCTCACCTAATCATTATACTCCATGGGACCCTTCCTATAGAGCCAGGGGACCGTCTGCACTTACACCCTATGGGGCCCTCCTCACACAGCCAGGGGTCCCTCTGCACCTACACCCTATGTGGCCCTTCTCACACAGACAGGGGTCCCTCTGCACCTACACCCTATTGGGCCCTTCTCACAGTACCAGGGGTCCTTCTGCACCTCCACCCTATGGGACCCTTCTCACAGTGCCAGGGGTCACTCTGCACCTACACCCTATTTGGCCCTTCTCACAGTACCAGGGGTCCTTCTGCACCTCCACCCTATGGGACCCTTCTCACAGTGCCAGGGGTCACTCTGCACCTACACCCTATGTGGCCCTTCTCACACAGACAGGGGTCCCTCTGCACCTACACCCTATTGGGCCCTTCTCACAGTGTCAGGGGTCACTCTGCACCTACCCTATGGGACCCTTCTCACAGTGCCAGGGGTCCCTCTGCACCTACACCCTATGTGGCCCTTCTCACAGTGCCAGGGGTCCCTCTGCACCTCCACCCTATGGGGCCCTTCTCACAGTGCCAGGGGTCCCTCTGCACCTCCACCCTATGGGGCCCTTATCACACAGCCAGGGGTCACTCTGAACCTCCACCCTATGGGGCCCTTCTCACACAGCCAGGGGTCACTCTGAACCTCCACCCTATGGGGCCCTCCTCACACAGCCAGGGGTCCCTCATTGCCTGCTTGGTGTCAGTACCAGGAGTGCTTAGTGTGTGTTGCTATTATTATGGAGACTGATACAATGTGTTCTATAGAGAAGAATCATTTCATTATGCAGTCACGGGTGTATGCCAGGCTAGAATAACTCTTATCACGCTCAGCCAGAAATACTGCGAGTGTGAGTGTCTGTGTGTGAGTGGTATCCACTACAATTTAAATTGTAACCCTTAGTGCCCCGGTTAATGTTTTGGACATAGCCTTTAAAGGGTTAATGAAAAGCCCTGGTCCCCATCATCCAGACGACTAGCTGCGAGTGATGGGAGCTGGCTAACGTTCGCTGAGAGGCTACACTGAGACGGCTGTGGTAGAGCTGTATCTAAAGTGCATATCATCTAAATCTACTGTATGCAACAATATAGGGAATATATATTCAGTTGTTTTCCTCTTTGTAATTATTATAATATTATTATTATTATTATTACTACTATAGGGCGCCAACATATTCCATAGCGCAGTATATCTTGTGATGCTGTATGTGGTCCTCAGGCAGCTGAGAGGGTCAGTGTGTGACCTGATGATGAGGGGATTAAAGGAGTCGGATACTCCATCCATGCAGGCAGATTACATGCTGGCACTCTGATAATGTTATGTAACACATGGAGAGCTGCTGGAGTAGGGAGGGGCTGTGCAGTTGTGGCTTTTTAACCCTTTGGTTTGCAGTTTTGTGTTGTTCAACACACTTTTGGCTCTCAAGCTGTTTATATATTTACAGAACAACAGAATATTTTAAATTCTCAGACAGGCATTCTTATTCTAATGTCAATTTCTATAGGTGTATTTATTTTTTTGTACAAATTAGGAATTGTTGAAAATTAACAAAAGAAGTGCACATTTTAGAAAAAAAAAAGTCCCCCTTATTTTGCCCTGAAATTGCCAATTCCACCTTGTCTGAGGTATGCATAATACTTGCGCCTCTTTTGTTTATACATAGTACCCTCTATCTCCCCCTCCCACCTTACTATGAGAGATTGTAGAATTGTTTATTCTCTAAATAAATTGAAATCAGTATAATAACCCTGTTACTAAATTGTACAGGGCCACCCAGCTCATTGTAGCTAGCTACATGAATAAATAGCTCTGGCACCAGCAGTGAAAGGGTGAAAAAACTAGGGCAATAGGAATATTGTTCAGGTATTTTGGGATCTTGTCTTGGAAAGCGGATTATTTGGGATTTTCCATTAAACCTGCGGCATTAGAGCGGATTTTAAGTGATTAATGCAGTACTTAGATTATCAGACAAAAGCTGCAATTATAGAACAAATTACATGTAAGACAATTTAAAAAAAAGGAAAAATGCGTGCTTTAAAGCAAGTTTGGCAAACGTCATTTCTGTGAAAATGTTAAACCAGCTCGTAGATTGTAAGCTCATGTGAGCAAGTCCCTCTCACCTCTTGTGCCTGTAAACTTTATTTCCCTGTCAATAACTTCATGCCATACATTCCTACTGAATAATACTAAAGCACTATGGAATATGTTGGCGCTATATAATGGCTAATAATGATAAAATGCGTTTTCAGTGATTTCTAAATCAACATCGAATGATATCTTACTTTCTGGAGAGCAACAGATTTAAATACATTTTTATTTTCTAAATTGTGGGGAACTTAAAATTATATTGCAATATCTAGGCCAAAATATTTGGGGGAAAAATGTAACCTCTTGCCCCGACTTGGCTATTTTGTCCCCATTATAATCAGTTCACTATTTAGTTCTTAAACCCCATTGGAATGAATAACTACCTGAGTGAGATTACGGTTTATCTTATTCTGGTAAGCCATTGTGAGATGTTGCTATGATACGTACAATAAAGCTTTTTTACTTGACAAACAATTTGTAGGAAAAGCATAACTTCCTAATTAACACAATTTATGAGTAACCGCTTGAGTCCAAGGTGTGGATAATCTTCAGGTAACTTTCTGTGGGGAATTCAGTCATATGTCGTTAAAATATATTTTGTTATTTAATGCGTTGTGATAAATGTAAAAAGTGATTGTGTAAAACGTTAGGCAATTCAGCCACAATGAATGCAATTCTCCGTCTCAGATTAGGTATGTGGAAATTGCTTGACAAACTAACCTTTTCTTTAACTTTATTTTTATTTTATTTTTTGCAAACCCCTTTATTCAAGTGACATTTGAAACATACGAAAAGTGATTCAATAACTCATAAATCATAAAGAATAACGATAAATGGTATATCAGCTTCCGTTCAAGTTTACAGACATTATGTATCGTTTGTAGAATTTATAAAGATGGGTCATTGTGTATTTCTGTATGTTAATTTATATAGCACCAACATAGCTCTATAGTGGGATACATTCATATTTTCGACTAAATGTATTTTATTTTTAGTCTGGTTAGGCTCACTTGACTCTCTGAGCCTAATGGAAAGTGCAGTCCGTAAGAACCCCTTGCATTCACATCTCCTCAACTCCTCCAGGGCTGCACCATTCTTATGTAATCCGTTTCCCCACAAAAATAGAATTTCCATTACTTTTCTCTCCACTAAGTAATCCTTAAAAATATCCAATTCTTTAGGAAAGTAAATCAATTGAACAGTTATTATTTCTTGCTAGACACCGCATCTCTTCTGGTCTTCTCAAACCCCACTGTGATATCTCTTAAAAAGTATGTCATGTATGTTTGCAGACATTTTATTGTTAGGAAACCTTATAATAACTGCATACCTTGAATTGATTGAACATATAACCTTTGTTACCTATTTAGATGAATTCACTTTTATGGAGGCCCTTTTGCAAAAAATTGTAGGTTGCCTTTACCCATTGTACAATGCTGAAAATTATGCTGGTGTGTTAAAACATAATAAAGATAAAGAATATCTACTGCAAGTGTAGTTATAAAATAGTCTAACTCGAGCAGGGCAGGTGCAAGGATTCCTGCCGCCTTAGGCAAAGATCCGTCTTGCCGCCCCCTCATGAATGCAGCTACATTCTCTCAGTGGTTTATTCACTAAACTCTGAATTGCGCTGAAGAGACACTTAGGGAAAAGACGTACGGGTGAGAAATTTAGAGAAGGAAACAGACCGGGGAGACATTTAGGGAAAGGATAGAGACACTCATCCTCTATATGCATCCACACACAAACTTCCCAATCATCCATACACACACACATACTGCCCAATACCTAAATCCATACACACATACTGCCTAATACAACCATCCATACACACATACTGCCCAATACAGCCAGTCATACACACATACTGCCTAATACAGCCATCCATACACACATACTGCCAAATACAGCCATCCGTACACACATACTGCCCAATACATACATCCATACACACATACTGCCCAATACAGCCATCCATACACACATACTGCCCAATACATACATCCATACACACATACTGCCCAATACAGCCATCCATACACACATACTGCCTAATACAGCCATTCATATACACATACTGCCCAATACATACATCCATACACACATACTGCCTAATACAGCCATCCATACACACACACACACATACTGCCCAATACATACATCCATACACACATACTGCCTAATACAGCCATCCATACACACATACTGCCTAATATAGCCATCCATACACACACACACATACTGCCCAATACATACATCCATACACACATACTGCCTAATACAGCCATCCATACACACACACATACTGCCCAATACATACATCCATACACACATACTGCCTAATACAGCCATCCATACACACATACTGCCTAATACAGCCATCCACACACACATACTGCCCAATACAGCCATTCATAAACACATACTGCCCAATACATACATCCATACACACATACTGCCCAATACAGGCATCCACACACACATACTGCCCAATACAGTCATCCATACACACATACTGCCCAATACAGCCATCCATACACACATACTGCCCAATACAGCCATTCATACACACATACTGCCTAATACAGCCATCCATACACACATACTGCCTAATACAGCCATCCATGCACACATACTGCCTAATACAGCCATTCATACACACATACTGCCTAATACAACCATTCATACAAGCATAATGCACACACTTTACATTGAATGTATCATTTATTTCTGTGATAAATTATGTATCCAGTGCACTCAGTGGTATTTAATTTACATTGCAGTGAACGTGTCAGACAGGTTCACTTTAAGTAAAACATTTTTTAGTATAATATATAACTATATTAATGTATATCATAAATATAATGTAATATATAAAGAGCTAATTACATGGTAACACACACATACTCTCACTGGTATACACACAATGTCACTTACACAACCTCACTAAGACACACATGTTCTCACTGCCACACACAATGTCACACGCTATCACTAACACACACTCTCACTGACACACACACAATGCCACTTAAACACACCAATTTACTTATAGTCACACTTTATTTATACACACAAACACAGCAATTTAAAACAACACACACACCAATTTACAACCATGCACAAAATAATCAGCGCCCTTATCCTCCGGGTGGGCAATACCTAAGTGCTGTAACTGGACGAGAAGGGGACCAGCCTATAGAAAGTGTCCTTTGTTACTGATGGGGGAGTAGGGCGAGCCGCACCCTGCGAGGTGCCCTGCTCCTATTGGAGGGTTTCCTATGTTCACAGCCAGGGGCAGCCGGGATACCAGATCACGTCCCTACAGGAAGCAGTGCGTTCTGTTCAGGGGGTGGTTTACACAAAACCCCGCTCCATGGGCAGATAATCGGCGGTGACCGCATCAAGACAGAGCTGCATTCCTGGCACTATTGCTCCCTCTCTCTATGGGAAGAATCTGATGCTGGATGTCCTCATGCAGAGCGTGAGGATGTCCGGCGTGGATACCGGACCACTGGAGGCTGCAATGTAAACATCTCTGGAACTGCAAAGTTTTACATTACAGCACTAAGTGCAAAAGGGACACTGCACCCAGACCACTTCAATGAACTGACGTGGTCTGGGTGCAAATACTGTCCCTTTAAGGTAATTATGGTGCTTAGACTGTCCCTTTAAGGGTATCATGGGGAATGTCTGCTGATGCCACACATTTACACATTTATATCTGCAGAAACAGTATTATATGGTGAATCCCATGGCTACTCAGAACTTCCTAAAGCAGAAATAAGTGCTTATATTTAAACACATATTTCCTGTTCATATGGAATTCCCTGATAAGGATTTAACGTAATGCAGCGAAAAAAATAGAACTAGATTAACGTTTTCTAAATGAATTGCTCGTTCTGCCACCAAAAGGAATATAGTGGATAGTTTGACAACAAGAATTGTTTTAATGAAAGCAATACTTAGTCTTTCAGCACTCTCAGCCAATCACCTCTCTCCAAACTGCTCCATCTGAACTGGCTGTGTCGCTTACAGTGTTTCTTTAACTTTTTAAATTAAGGCCACAAATACAAATGGCATATTCCGTTTTTATAATACTGTATACAATTTTAAAATACGAATTTTCACAAAATATTTATACGTCTTTAAATCACAATTATGTTTGAGCATCAAGAGGCATTCATTTACATCCTCGGCCTTGTGTTTGTTCGAGGTTTATGGAGCCATAACTCGCAGTGCTACCTGTGTCTGATCCCACGTTTGGTAAAATTAGTGGCATCCTCCTTTATCAAATTGCTGAAGTCAGCTCTATGACAAGACTTCAAAACCATGCATTTAATGGCTTATTTAAATGGTCTGGGCACTTGTCAAAAAGATGACGTGTTTAGGTATGAAAAAAAAAATCAACTCTCTGTATTCATGTTATTGCGGCCCAGACATATCTAAGTGAACTTTTTTTAATATGACAGCCATTTATACAAATGATCTTTTACTGTTTGTTAAGTAAATGAACTCAAGTGCCAAGGGATTCCCACTATAACCGAGAGCAGGACTAGAGGAATCCTAGATATACGTCAAAGCTAACTAGCAAAAAAACTTCCTGGCTGCCACCGAGCGAAAACTCTCATAATGCTTAGCCAGCGTGCCTTTAGGCTGGCAGAACGTAATGGGAGTTTTAGTTCTACAACAACTGAAGAGGTACTTTTTATCTGTTCATATTTAAATGTGGACGTTTGGCTTCATTCGCCTGCTCACGTTTGTGAGTGTTTATTTAACACCAGGTGCCAGGTTTAGGATTGGCACAAAATGTCCCTGTGATTTATTTTTTTAATTATTTTTTTTTTTATAAATTTAATCATTATTGACACAGGATACAAGTTGCTGCAAATTCAGGCAGAGCACATGCCAGAGTCAGTGCTGGAATTTTATTTTCCACCTGGTGCTGCTGATAACATACTTGGCTCTCTTGAGTGCCCGCCGCATTGATTAGCAAAGAGTCATGTTGGGTCAGAAGCAGGGACAAAATAAGTAATTTCATTAAAATATAAAATAATAATTTAAAGGGCATTTATCCCCAGTACATGAGCTCAAGCACATCCCTCACATGTGCATACACTGGGACAGCTTCATAGCTCTCCTTTAACTATACAGAATGTCACAAACAGGCGTTGTGCGGGACATTCCATGTGTATCTCTGGAGCAGGAGTTTCCCTGATTCTTACATTATTTGCATGCACTAATAAACTGTCCATCGTCGTCCCTCCAAGCAGCCATTGAGCACATCATTTGCATCCAACATGAGGGTGAAAGTTAGGACATGATAATTTAGTGGTAACAAACACCTGCCCAGAACATTACCTGTACCCACTTTAACCATTTCATTAGGGCAAGTAATTAAAGGGTTAACAAAAAAAAACAGGTTTAGGCATGGTCAGTAGGTGTGCGTTTTAGGGTTTAATGTACAGGTTAAAAGAAGGCATTAGGTAAATTCTGATCACTTCTCGATAGCATAACCTATTTACAAACTCACAGGGGGGGGGGGACAGTTCTGTTTGTAAGAAATATAAATGGATTCAATGTATTTTATTGTATCAAAATTGACAAAATAACTAAGCAATTTAAAAAAATAAAAATTGGTATATATGTAATGACCTATAGTCAGCTGTTTGGTAACTCACATTAAAAAACCTCCCAGTGCTTATCTTAAATGAAATTAATTTGAAAAGAATCTCTGAGTCTGGTAAAGGAAGTAGATAAAAAGTGAATTCTGCGTAACAAGGAGCACCTGGAGTTGCTATGCAGCTGTGGAATTTGGTTGGTGGAGAGTTTTATTTTTAACTCTTTCAGTGCTGGAGTAATAACACAAAATAACACTTAATGTGCCGGAGTCACAAGCAGCAATTAAATTATCTTGAAAATATCCAGCTACACACAAGGAACACTGAGCAAACAAACTGTTATGGTGACACGTGATCATCCCAGCCAAGTGTCACTAGAGAGTTTAAGCTACAGGTGTAAAATGATGGGTGTTGACATGCAAATTATTACCCTACCAACAGTGTCAATGGAAGACCTTAAATAAGTGAAGTGGGTTTTTTTTTCAGATGGTTTATGATCTCAGCTATAGTCAAAACACTTGCAGCACATTCAGCCAGAGCTTTGTCATTTACATGTGTTTTTTTCTCCCCCCCCTTTCTCATTTACAGCTGCTTTGTTTATGGAGGTTTGGACTGGGGCCCAGCACAGAACTTCTCAGTTCATCTTTTCAGGAGATGTTGCTGTCCTGGAAGGGACAGAGCCATTTGGATCCCTGTTTCTGAGTCCCAGGTGCACAGGGCACACTGTGTCTGCTGCTCCCATCTGTACAGTACTATGGCTGTATATTGCTATGCCTTGAATAGCCTGGTGATGATGAATAATAGTAATGTGAAGTCGGGCAGCGTGACAAAGACTAGCCCTAGCTGCCAGAGACCTGTTTTGCCAGTTCCAGACAGGAAAAGCACCTACTTTCCATTGTTGGGGAGTGCGATACTGCCACCTTATAGCCCAGGACCATCAAGTCCTTCGAGCTCTCCCAAGACCAAAAACACATCTTTCATTTTTCCTGAAAATGCAAAAGAACGATCCACTGCAAGAAGCCGTAGCCCAAGTTGGAATGGCAGGGATGGACAGACACCGAAAGCTGGAAGGTGCCCTTCCCCACTTCGGTTACCGGGCTATAATGTGGGAGAAGCAGGCTCACGCTCGGGAATCTTATCAGGGTTTGGACAGGGCAATGGTTCAGGGACATGGCAGTTAGAATCAGAAGAAAAAAGACGTTTAGCTCGGATACAACGTGAGCTTCAGAATGTACAGGTGAACCAGGTTGTGGGACTTTTTGAAGCTCACATTCAAGCCCAAAATAGCCCACTTTCCCCAGGACTCCGAAGTCCTAGATTTGGAAGTCGATCCCCATCACCATTAAGGCGAACGTGGGGAGAAGAAAACATTTTTTCCTTTGTCCACAATTCAGGCCGCAAAGTGTCTTGTTCTAGTCAGGATGGACTTTCAGTGGTTCCTACATCTCAATCCTTGGTCCCCAGTGTAGAGAAGGATGTATCAGTAGCTATAAACTCTGTGTCTACTGGGCAGCAATGCAACACTTCTCCACAGGAGGAATCAACTAAGACTAACTCACTTACCATAGGAACACCAGGACCTATTCCCGCTGTCATCATTACGGACCACGGGGAGGATGGGGAAGGGCAGGTGGAGAGTAATAGTTTGGGTATCAATCCAACATCTCTTCCAAGGAAGCTGTCATCCTCCTCAGCTTCCTCTACTGGTTTTTCATCCTCCTGGGATGAGTCTGAGGATGATGTGTCAAGTGATCCTGAACGCTCTCTGGAAAAGAGCCCTCCTTTCCTTCAGACTATTGAACAACCAAAGCCTCGGGTGGTAAGTACTTTGCACTTTTTCTTGTATGCTTAATCCTTTTATTTTGGTTTGCTCACTAAACTGTTCATCGTTGGAAATTCACCAGTGAATTGCAAATTGTAGCCAAACTCCAAAAATTCCACCTCTTTTGACCTTAAAGCGGTTCTGTAAAAATCCCCCCCCCCTCTGCCCTGGGCAGCCTATGTCATCAGTTGTCATAGTAGACTCTCGATGGGCATGTGTGGGGAAGAGCAGGGCCAGTGAATTATGGCAGCCACCATCTTGGAAAAGCCAATATGGCGGTGCCATGGAAGAAGACCTGGTTGAACTGGCACAGTAAGTAAGTAGCACAGGCCCCAGAGCCACTAAATGTTGTGAGGGTTCAGGGGAATTAAGGGAAGGAGGACGGGGAGGGGAATTTGGTGACACAGCCACTTTAAATTTAAAGTTCCCTGGTCAATTTACATTAATTTGCTTAATGTATTGCTCTCACTGTATGTTTATACCCCTGCTAAAATGAATATAGATAATTCAGATAATACGATAAATGTTAAGCAATGTCATCATGATTGCAAGTTAACCTACAAGCAGATCATATATGTAGGCTATCAAAGTAAACTTGTGAATTTAACCACAATATCCAAACCCCCCAAAATAATATTTTATTAACAGAAGATAAAACATTTAGCCCATCTAGCATATTACTGTCTGTTTTTAACTTAAATGTGTTTTTTGATCTTTGATCTTTGATCTTGTCATAAATTCAAGCTAGCCTGTCCTTTTCCCGTTTAACTCCTTAATTATGATTTATATTGGCGTAACATGATTCTATTGAAAAATGGGATCCCACTGGTTTAGTGAATTAATGATACATGGGACTGCAGGACATCTTCAATGATCAGGTAATATTGAGTGCCAGGAAAACAACTCGTCTACAAAGGGTTCCATTTTCGGAGTGTGTTGGTTGCCAGGTTACTTCTAGGAAGGTAGCTCAGTTGGTTAATGTTCCATTTCAAGGTGTTTGTGTATGCCTTTAATTTTACAGGCTGGAATTCCGGTGCGCTTGCTGAGAATTCTATCCTTTCATTGCTGCTGAAATGGGGATTATGAAAAAAAACTAAAAGTTCTAGTATGTCCGCGCCGAATATTTCCCCGAATAATGTTTGTGCTGTTATTTTTTTTAAATTTCTTTTACAGTTTTTTACATTATTTTTGGTTCAGAATTTCAGGGCCTGTCACTGTTGAAAAAAGAGGCACAATATTTAGCCATATATTGGAAAAATAAAAGTGTGCAATTAAATAAAAAAATTTTTTTAACAGAAATTGTTTAGGGGTTCTAAAAGTGAATTTGTGACTTTAAGACATAACCCCAATGGGTTCCAGATCTGTTGGGAATGACCTGTATCACTGTAAAGGGGGCAAACTACACTATGTAAGTGCAGGGTGAATTTTATTGTTATTATCCACGACCAATTCAGTAACGTTATACTTCCTTTCATCACATTTCAAGTTTTCACCATCGAGTTTTAAAGTGTGACCTTTTGTTATTTCTCCTTTTTAAATGTATTCTTCCTGTTGTTGTTTTATTCGCTTCCTTGAAAATACTTTTGTATTTCACAGTTGTAAGTGGAATATTTTGAACCATGGTCTAATTATAATCATCGTAATTTTTTTTTATTTCAAAAGCACTAACATGTCTGTGAGTCTGATTTATACATTATACAACGTTTCCTGGTAAAAGACTCTGAGGAATTATTCACTAAACAGCGGGTGGTGGTGAATTCAGAACCGAACTGCGAAAATAAAGTCCTAAACAGCAAAATTGGAAAATGGTTTGATCCAAACTGGCCCCTTTAGCTTTTTATCAGTTTTTACTTTTACTTGTAAGTTCTAAAGCCATTACGTGACGTACGGTGAATGCAAATGACAAGACATAAAACGTTTTATTCACTGCAGTGTGAAATGCTAGGCTAAAATAGTCTAAATGAAATGACACCTGAGATTTTTCTTCCAATTCAACTATTGTGGCCTAAAATTTACTTTGAACTCCCCAAAAAAACTACACTAGTGGATAACCATGAATAACATGAATTCATACCTTCAAAGTGTCTCGGTTTTGGAGGGATAGTCCCTATTTTGGGGCCAAATCCCCCTGACCCTCTATGCTAATACAACTCTTGTGAAGGTGATTTAGAATATTTGGTGTGTCTTAAAGGACCACTATAGTGCCAGGAAAACATACTCGTTTTCCTGGCACTATAGTGCCCTGAGGGTGCCCCCACCCTCAGGGACCCCCTCCCGCCCGGCTCTGGAAGGGGGAAAGGGGTTTAAACTTACCTTTTTCCAGCGCTGGGTGTGGAGCTCTCCTCCTCCGATCCTCCTCCTCTCCTCCCTTTCGGCTGAATGCGCACGCACGGCAAGAGCTGCGCGCGCATTCAGCCGGTCACATAGGAAAGCATTCATAATGCTTTCCTATGGACGCTGGCGTGCTCTCACTGTGAAAATCACAGTGAGAAGCACGCAAGCGCCTCTAGTGGCTGTCAATGAGACAGCCACTAGAGGAAATAGGGGAAGGCTTAACCCATTCATAAACATAGCAGTTTCTCTGAAACTGCTATGTTTATGAAAAAATGGGTTAACCCTAGCTGGACCAGGCACCCAGACCACTTCATTAAGCTGAAGTGGTCTGGGTGCCTAGAGTGGTCCTTTAATTTAAAGCAGAGCTCCACAGCAATGATACTCTCAGTAATGTCTTTAAAGTACAGTAAATATGTTTAGAAATCAGTCTGTGTAAAAAGAGATACATTATTCTTATTCTTCATTACATTTTAGTTGCAACATTCTTTTATTAAGTCACCTACAATTTCTCAGAACAGCTTGTTCCCTGGCTACACCCCCTCACACCCTTTGCCCATGTGAAATGATGGTGTGTGAACTGTCTGTGAACTAGTAGTATTTTATTACCTTTTTTAAAAGGGTTACTTCAAGCACCATGACCAAGCACAGTGGTTTGAAGTGGCAATGGTGACTGCAGTCAGTATGTGCAGCCTTTCATGTGGGTGCCTGACATAACAATAATAATGGTCAGAATGTTACAGTGATGAGATTATTTTGCAGTTTAATGGTTTGTCAGTTATAAGATGTGATGATTTAGATCTGCACTTATCAATAGTTATCGTTAAAGAAACAGGGGGAAATTAGAATAATTTCACTTCTTTTTTTTTACATTAAAGGGATACCATGGTGCCAGGAATACAAAGCTATATTCCTGGCACTAAAGCTCCCTCCGCCTCCCCCCTCCCTTGCCCCTCCCCCCTTTATTTACTTACCTGATCCCAGCGCCTATGTCCTTCGGCACTGGGTGGCGGCTCCACCTGCTCCGCCATCACTGTACGAGGGGGCGCTAATGCACTTGCGCGCCGAGTGCCGCACGCATTAGGCCTCCCAATAAGAAAGCAGTTACTCAATGTTTTCCCATGGGGAGATAGCTAACGCTGGATGTCCTCATGGAGAGCATGAGGACGTCCAGCGTCAGTTACCGGACCAAAAGTCCACCAGTGACTGTCCGGTAAACAGCCACTGGAGGCTGCAATGTTTCTCTAAAACTGTGATGTTTTACATCGAAGCACAAAGTGCAATAGGGACACAGCACCCAGACCACTTCAATGAGCTGATGATTTCTTATGGTTTTCTATATGGAGTCCCCATTTTGTCGTACCTCTTAAAATTGGTTTGACAAACACTAGAGGAACTCCACCCATAGTAAACAAGAACCATAACCGCTACAATAAACTGATAAACTGAGATAAATGTATTTTTTTAGGTGACATATTTAATACAATTAATTTCATTGTGTGTTTCCTTTTGCTCTGTGCCTCCTCGGTTGTATGACACTTTCTGCAAAACCTGTTGTTGTTCACTTAAAGGAGCACTATAGTGCCAGGAAAACAAACTTGTTTTCCTGACACTTTAGGGTTATTAGGTCCCCACCTCCCACTGGACTGAAGGGGTTAAAACCCCTTCAGCCACTTACCTTAATCCAGCGCCGGGCTCCCTCGGTGCTGGTGACCTCTCCTCCCTCGGCCGACGTCAGCTCCGAATGGCATGCGCGACCAGAGCCGCACGCTCTGGTCGCTAAATTCTCAAATTATCAAACCACCCATCGGAAAGCATTACTCAATGCTTTCCTATGGACGTCAGCGTCATGTCAGTGCGATTTTCGCATTGAGCGTCGGGGAAGCGCCTCTAGCGGCCTGTCAGGAAGACAGCCACTAGAGGCTGGATTAACCCTCAATGAAAACATAGCAGTTTCTCTGAAGGGTTAAAACCAGGGGCACCTGGCACCCAGACCACTTCATTGAGCTGAAGTGGTCCTTTAAGGCATTCATTGAGAAATATCTTTACTAGTAGGCTTATTTACTAATGTCAGAGCTAGCATCTTACTATCACAGAGCTATTTACTATTAGTATTCAAGGTGATTTCAAATTTAAAGTCGAACTAGACAAACTGGAAATTAAGCCTAAACTGACAGCAACTAATTAGTAAATACACTGACAGTTTGAGAAGAAGGCAAAGGTTGAACTTCAGAATCTTCGTTACTCTTTCCACATGTAGACTTAAACTTCCCCTTCTCTTTGGCAGAATGTTGTGACAGTTAGTTCTGTTCTCGCCTATCTTCTTTTTATACCTTCATGATTTTGTCGTCCTTTTGTAAGCTTCTGTGTGTTTTTCTTTGTTTTGCATGCTGTTAGTGAATGTTTTCTTTTTCTGAAAACTTAAAACTTACGTGACATTGATTTTCCGACATTTTGCCTACATTTTCCTCCTGTAAAACCGCTATTTTTTTCTTGACAACAATTAAAGGATTTTAGAAAAAAAAGGCTCCAAATTGTAAATACAATATTTGTAATAATATGACTTTATATGAAAAAAATATAACACAAGTATATTTTTAAATAAATGTTAATTTTACACATCAATTTAATAACCTACAATAGCCAATGAGAACATAGCATGAATTGCATCTCTGTTTCCCAATAAAACTTTTTTATTGGCCAGGGTTAGCCATTTCCTTCTGCATATATGGGCCCCATTGTAAAACATGGTTACATTTAGAGCAGAGAGATATTCCAGCTATGAAAATACATTATAGGGGATTTAATCTTTAATACAGACTCGTGCCTCTTGAATACTGAACATAGCAAAGTCTGGCCAATCAAAATATATCATTCATCTCACATACTACATATAAGCCTGCAACTTAAAATTAAATACCCCTTTTAGTAAACCCTCCCACAACTTTTTTTTTTACCATTAACTCCTTTTTTTTTTTTTGGATTAATAATTTCAGTCAGTATAGGCCCACGCAGCATAGTGAAACTACTTGCTAATTTAAGTAATTGATAATCTGCAACTTAATTGCAGTAGTTTAATAACATAGTGGGAAGTAGATTTTCTTAAAATTGAATATAGGATATAATGTCATATAATATATGTAGAACACTGCTAGGTAAATATGGAATGATATAAAATAATGGCGGGATAAAAGGTGACTTGTGTACTCATTTTTTGTACTTGTATAGGAGTGCACACCACAATACATTAGGATGTTCTAACATCTTACTTCGTACCCCTACTTTTACCCTTTGTGTCACTATACACCATTCCCTATAGAATGTAAGCTCATTGAGCAGGGCCCTCCACCTCTCTCTTCCTGTATGTTGAGTTGTCTGATTACAATTACATTTCTGTTAGTCCACCCTTTGTACAGCGCTACGGAATCTGATGGCGCTATATAAATAATAATAATAATAATAATTTACACACAGGAACTTGCACCATAACCACAGTTTGATGATTATCTGTGCCCCCCAGACACTTGTGGTCTGGCCCACTCTTCAGATTATTATTATTATTATTACTGGAATTTATAAAGCACCAACATATTCCGCAGCGCTGTACAACTGTACACACAATACACACTGACCAATACAAAAAGGGAAACGATATAACTAAAGCAGAGATAATCCTTGGGCATTAGTTATAGCAATTTAAAACCCTTTGGATTCGGGTTAGTGTAAAATGGTTCGAAAACACAGAGGGTGTTTATAGTGCTTAAACTTCCCCTTTAATGTAAAAACTGGCCAATCCATTTAACAATTCTTTTGTAAAGTACAAGATAGAATGTAAAGGGGAAAGGTTTAGAATTCATGCAGCCTATTCTGGTATAAGAGAGTTACATTTTTCACAGAATTTGCTCACATACCCAGATCGCAGAGTGAAATGGCATTTCCTTTGAAGGAGATATCTGTAAAAGTAGTTTAGTGTTGCTGCACAAGTCTCTCACTCGTGTTGTCTCATGTTTACCAATCTTAACACAATCAATGTCCCTATTTAGTGTTATAGAAGAGATGTAACTTTTTGGCAGTTATCGCTGTAATAAAAGGTGACTTTTTGCTAAAGATTCAAATTCAGTCTGTACCAGGAATTTCTTACATCAGTAATTAATAAAGAAATCCTAAAACTGTGTCATGATTTTCTTGCCAACTTGAATTTTATATCTTCCGTCCCTCTGCGAAACCAAGAGTGGCCACAGGTCAATCCCCATCTGTTGTACAAAAAAGTGGGGATTTACCTTTCACCATCTCTGGCCAAACAGGACAACTGACTTGTAAAATGTCGGTCAAACTAGACATAGCTGATAGAATAAAACATACATTCAGCAAGATCAATGTGCTGTTTAGTGAATAGGTTGATCGAGTCTTTCAAATAGTTTACAAATGTATAGATGGAATGATACATTTGATCTAATTGTCCTCCTGTGCAGCTGAGTGGATGGTATTCTCACTGGCAATACATTGTTGCACGCAATATCCAAATAAATCAATATCCAAATATATCAATATGTCAATATATCAACATCACAGTATGTCTGTTTCCCACTATATCAATATTCTAAAAAATAAATAAATACATATATTCAATATCAAAACTGTATCAATATCCCACTGTATCAAAATCATAATTAATCAATATCCCAATGTATTAATACCCCAATATATTGACCCTGTGTATCAATATTCCCAATACCACAATATATTGACCCCAATATTAATATTCCACTATTTCAAATTCCAATATGTCAATATATCACTATATCAATATGCTAATTAATTTATCAAATTCTCAAATTCTCAATAACCGATTCAAAAAAATTTACATGAGAATGCTACATTCCGGGACACCATAACCATTTCATCTAACTGAAGTAGTTATAGTGCATGAAGTCCCTTGCACCGTCCTTCTTTAGTATGCCATTGAATGAGAATGTTCCCCGCCAGTGGTTATAGCTAATGTATATGCTATTCAGTGTTTATGGTGCCTGGACAATCCATTCAATACTGAATTTACTTAAAATCCACCTCTAACACATCAAACTAAGACGTGCAGTGACTCACGTTTGGCACTGTGTTTTTGTTATCCCATTGTCTGAATAGACAATGACAATACGCTAGCTTTCAATTGTGTGTCCTCTGGATGTATTCACTAAATTGTGAATTGTGTTGAACAGAGAAGGGAATTAAACATGTTATAGCAAAACATCTGAGTTTCCCAGATTAGTTAATTTGTCTTAAAAGTAACAGAGCCCTTGTTAATTCTCCCTAATCCACAGTTTAGCGAATAAAGCCCTGTGTGTGGTGTGCAGTGAGTGTAACACCATTGTAAACAGATGGGTAGATTATGGCTTTAACATTACCACCCAACCTCCTCTGCAATTGACTTCCTGCAGATGAAACATGCAAATAAAAGGGGCTGTTTTTACCTTTTGTAATGCAATCACTTTCTAAAGCTAAATAGAATTAAACACAAACAAACAAAACCAAACTAAAATCAATATTGTAAGTGTTATTATCTAAATGTACTACAGGGGTGAGCAAAATGGCAAAGGTTAGCAAAGCATGATGGGATTTGCAGCTCTTCAACAGATGGGGACTACCTGTTGGCCACCCTTAGTATACTGTATATAAACTTTAAGGGACATCATAAAAGGCACAGTATATTGTAGTGGTTATAGTTCATGGATTGTTTGGGTGCATTACCAATAATTTTTGTTAAACGACTTTCGATTTTGTACACAAAGAACGAACCCCTGTGCAGCTGCAGATAATGCAGAAATTAAATGTATCATTTATTTGTCCAAATATAGCTGGCAATAATAGGCTGGGAGCAACGAGAACAGATTAGCTCATTGTCTCTACCTGTTTGTGAATTTATAAAAGAGATCAATTGACCAAGTTCTTCTAAATTGCAACAGGTAATGCGTAGATAATATTTCTCATTATCTTGGCAAGAGCATAGGGGACAGGTCATCGGTACTGAAAAAGGGGCGACATGCAATATCTCCTTGCACCATAACAACTATAGGAAATGTACAGGTTATGGTGTGTTGAACGTCCCTTGAAAAAAAAAAAAAGAGATGGCAAACTGCAGGCCCCCAGTTTTCAAACTACAACCTGCATTATTCCCATGGTCAAATTAGATTTGAATGGATGGATTGAGACTAAAATAGGAGATATGGGCTATGGGTATTCTCCATCTCGGCTATAGACAGTTTATTTTAGTCTCAAGTTTAGTATTTGGCATTAGTTTACTAAAACTCAGAGTTTAGTGACTAATTGTGATATAGGCTGTCAGAAAATAGCAGAATTTGGAATTCAGAGAACTATACTGTAATGTTATAGTTTGCCCCAGCACCAATTATTTGTCATTTTACAATACATTGTATGCGCACACTTCAGCTATCAAAGTCAGTTCAGTTACAGACAGTTCAGTTACAGACTGGTGACCCAACTTAAAAATGTATCCACGAAAAAAGGTGCAGGCATGCGGCAGTGCTGTGCTACCTGTGGATGATGGGAATGACACTCCAAATAGCTGATGCTGCTTCTTCCTTGTGTCATACTAAAGCACAACTTGTATTGAGCAGGGCCAGCGTGGGCGAGTGCCTGTAGCACTGGAGTGGAAACTTATTCTTACATGTGGTTATAACTTCTGCAAGAAGCCTCGTACTTAGCTCTGTGTGAAGGATGATGCAACATTGTCTGACATTCTGTGTGCACTGGGATTTGGGATGTTTAATCTCCACAAAAACTGGATTCCCGTGGATTATTCTCTAAAGGAGGAACTGCAATTTCTAGGCTAAAGTAGCTCTGCGGAATCCTCGGTTTAAAACTTTTAAACCACCGTCCAAATCTTGGCCATTTTCAGTATAGTGACTAACCACAGGAATTGGTCATTTTTGAAAGGGGGCTTAATAAACTGTGAATCTTCATATGGAAATATTACATAGTTACACCGTGAAGGCAAATTATAGGTGTGTTGTCAGCTCCTGTAATTTACAAAGTGTTTTGCAAAACATCTCAGAGATACAAAGTTAGACAAGTAAAGACCTGACAACTGTTTGCTTTGGCAATGGATGGTCAGTCAGTGTAGCAACTTGTTTGGTGATAAGCTTCTCAGATACATCATAATTGTGCTAAATGAGCTTTATATCCCAACATTTAAAATGGACAAAGAGGGGCACTTTAATATTTGGGGTGTGGCCAAGGGGGCTGGTCTGAGAAAGTTTAGGTGACTTACTAATACCAATGTATAGAACCATAATGTAATCTAGAATTAGCACAATGTATCGTATGTACACAGACTGATTTCTAAACACATTTATTGTAGTTTAAAGACACATTACTGGGGGTATTATTGCTGTGGAGCTCTGTGATACACTCAGACACATTTCTGGAGTATTATTACTGTGGAGCTCTGTTATACACTCAGAGACATTACTGGGAGTATTATTGCTGTGGTGCTCTGTTATACACTCAGACACATTGCTGGGAGTATTATTACTGTGGAGCTCTGTTATACACTCAGAGACATTACTGGGAGTATTATTGCTGTGGTGCTCTGTTATACACTCAGACACATTGCTGGGAGTATTATTACTGTGGAGCTCTGTTATACACTCAGACACATTACTAGGAGTATTATTGCTGTGGAGCTCTGTTATACACTCAGACACATTATTGGGAGTATTATTGCTGTGGGGCTCTGCTATACACTCAGACACATTACTGGGAGTATTATTACTGTGGAGTTCTGTTATACACTCAGACACATTACTGGGAGTATTATTGCTGTGGAGCTCTGTTATACACTCAGACACATTTCTGGGAGTATTATTACTGTGGAGCTCTGTTATACACTCAGAGACATTACTGGGAGTATTATTGCTGTGGTGCTCTGTTATACACTCAGACACATTGCTGGGAGTATTATTGCTGTGGAGCTCTGTTATACACTCAGACACATTACTGGGAGTATTATTGCTGTGGAGCTCTGTTATACACTCAGACACATTACTGGGAGTATTATTGCTGTGGAGCTCTGCTATACACTCAGACACATTACTGGGAGTATTATTGATGTGGAGCTCTGTTATACACTCAGACACATTATTGGGAGTGTTATTGCTGTGGGGCTCTGCTATACACTCAGACACATTACTGGGAGTATTATTACTGTGGAGCTCTGTTATACACTCAGACACATTACTAGGAGTATTATTGCTGTGGAGCTCTGTTATACACTCAGACACATTACTGGGAGTATTATTGCTGTGGAGCTCTGTTATACACTCAGACACAT